AAGGGGTGCCTATGTCCTCCAGCAGTCTAAGCCTATAGCAGCAGAACTGTAGAGATAGCTCTGGAATAACGATTCCTTTCTACTCGCCTTCCCTTCCTCAGGGGGATACCAGGGCCCAGCTGGTGGCGGAGCGACTTGGTCTGGGACAAAACCTGGATCTGTCAGACACCATGGTCCAGCAGAAGCTGGACGAGATCAAGGAGCAGATCCGCAGAGAGATCCGCAAGGAGTTAAAGATCAAAGAAGGTGCAGAGAACCTGCGTAAGGTAAGCCCTCAAAAACTCTTTTGTTTTTTTTGTCTGTAAAATTCACTTTTAGAAATTAATCCAGAGTTGTAATGGTGCAGTCCTCTTTTCCAGTTTTTAATGGGTTGCATATTTTGCATTATTTTCTAACTTTAGTGATATTTTTTAACATGTCTCCTTATTGATTCAGCAATAAATTTTATTTAATTTTTGTTAGAAATGGACAAAATTGAAATTTACCTCCAAAAGACACAATCCAGTTATGACACTTTGAAAAGGTTTTGATAGTAACTGATGTTTTAATTCTCTTTGCTTTTTATTGGTCAAGCCAATACAAGCACCCGTTATTGCAAATGTTGTCATCGTCCATGTAGACCAATAAAAATGCGAATAGGCTCTTCAATCCAGAAGAAGTCCACTCCAATTTTGTAAAAAAAAAAAGAGAGATTAGAATATAATATCTGTAAAAAAGAAAAAAAATTTGAAAAAATATCTTTTGGATTTGCAAAGTCTGACCTCTACTTGCAACAATAATGGAACAAACTTCACTCCATATACCCTTTGCTTTCCTCAGGTCACCACAGATAAGAAGAGTCTGGCTTATGTGGACAATATGTTGAAAAAATCGAACAAGAAGGTGGAGGAGCTCCACCAGGAGCTCCAAGAACTGAACGCTCACATCGTAGTCAAAGATCCAGAAGAGCTTTCAGGTAATTTCAGTCAACTTACATTTATTTTATTATCTTCAAAGCGGCACAAATCAACGATTTGTGGCCGTCTGCTGGTTTCTGTAAACCGTCCTTCAGCAGGTTTCTATTTAAGAAAAATAATCCTAGAAGATTTCTGCTGTCAGTGGATGTGAATGATTTGAGTTAGAAGCAGAGGCAGCATCACATGGTGAGAAATCAGCCTCTGCATTACAGAAAGACGAGCCGATGGCTGAGCCATTTAAACTCCATTCGTTTTCTTCAATTAGCATTTTAGCATCTTATAGGTGACATCACTAGAGGAGGCGGCGGCTCGCTGGGGAAAAGGCAGATTTAAGGGAGCACTCACCTCGCAAAAAAAAAAAAGCCCTCTTCTTCTAATAAAATCAGGCGTGCTATGTACGGAAGAGGATTAGGGCCACTGGAGAAAAAAAAAAAAAAGTTAACTGATTTTTAAATTTTATTTCAGGTTAACATGGGAAAAAAAGTCTGAATTCTGACTTTTTTCTCAGAATTCTGATTTTAATCTTAGAATTCTGACTTTAATCCCAGAATTCTGACTTTAATCTCAGAATTCTGATTTTAATCTTAGAATTCTGACTTTAATCCCAGAATTCTGACTTTAATCTCAGAATTCTGATTTTAATCTT